ACATAAACCAGGGCAACAGATGCGCCACGTTGATGCCCTCAGCCGTAACCCAATCATTGATTGTTCGAATAGCATAAATTCAATTGAGTCGGTCATGCGCATATCAGAAGGGGACTGGTTAGCGACAGTTCAAAACAAAGATCCTGAGATAAAACGCATGAGGGAAATTTTAGAATCCGGAAATAGTGAGGACGAAAAAGAGATATTTCGAACGTATGATTTGAGGGCGGCAAAAATTTTCAAATTAACCGAGCAAGGTCGCCGTTGGTTAGTTCTAAAAAATTGTCGCTGGCAAATTGTACAAGCAAACCATGATGAATTAGGTCATTTTGCAGTAGAGAAGACGTTGCAGAGAATTAAAGATAGATACTGGTTTCCTAAAATGAGAAATTTTGTCACCAAGTATATTGAATCATGCCTTAACTGTCAATATCATAAAATTCCTGCCGGAAAAAAACAAGGATTTCTTTTTTCAATAGCAAAGTATGCTCGTCCATTTCACACTCTTCATATCGATCACATGGGACCTTTCGTTGAAACAAAAAAAGGTCACAAATATTTACTAGTTATTGTAGATTCGTTCACAAAGTTTACATTCATTCAGGCAGTACCTAGTACAAGAAGCAGCCCTGTAATTGATCACATGAGAAACCTCATCAGCATATTTGGTGCTCCAAAACGTTTAATTTCGGACTCTAGTAAAGCATTCACATCTTCCAAATTCAAAGCATTCTGCAAAGATATAGGCACTAGACACTACCAAAATGGAGTTGCAATGCCTAGAGCGAATGGCCAGGTCGAACGTTACAATAAAACCATATTGGACGCAGTAGCAGCTTGTGGGGCAACACTAGAGTCAGACGAATGGGACCAGAATATCGATAAAATCCAAATGGGTATCGATAGCACAATCAACAAAACTATTGAGACAACACCTGCTGAGGTACTTTTGGGCATAAAGCTGAATGCACCAGGGGATTGCTATGTAAACCATGTCATCGAACCTCCAGCGATAGACGTAACAAAATTGAGACAAGAAGTTGGACAAGAATTAGAAGAAAACCGACACAGACAATATAACTACCATAACAAGGAACGTCGTCAAGCCCCAGAGTATCAAATTGGTAATAAGGTTTTGATTAAAGTCACAAACTTTGAGAGTGATGGATTGAGTGAAAAACTTAGAGAAAAATATAAAGGGCCATTCACCATTATAGCAAACTTGGGAAATGACAGATACCGGGTGAAAGAAGACTTAGGCTCTGAACTATGTAAAAACAGCAATCGGTATGAAAGGTATGAAGCAGTTATTGCAGCAGAGCATCTCAAACCATTCACCGCAAGAACCGATGACATTTGGTGAGTAATGATGAAAATATTCATCACAAGTAACGAATTGTCACAGTGTAAGCTGACTGTGTATGTCTTCTGACTGCTCAAGGTCGCAGTCAGATTGCACAAGACTACACCAGCTTGGTATGAACCGAATTGTCACAGTGTAAGCTGACTGTGTATGTCTTCTGACTGCTCAAGGTCGCAGTCAGATTGCACAAGACTACACCGCAGCTTGGTATGAACCGAATTGTCACAGTGTAAGCTGACTGTGTATGTCTTCTGACTGCTCAAGGTCGCAGTCAGATTGCACAAGACTACACCAGCTTGGTATGAATCGAATTGTCACAGTGTAAGCTGACTGTGTATGTCTTCTCACTGCTCAAGGTCGCAGTCAGATTGCACAAGACTACACCAGCTGAACTGAATCTTCACAGTGTAAGCTGACTGTGTATGTCTTCTGACTGCTCAAGGTCGCAGTCAGATTGCACAAGACTACACCAGCTTGGTAGGAAGTGAATTTTCACATGGTAAGCTGACTGTGTATGTCATCTGGCTGCTCAAGGTTGCAGCCAGATTACAAAAGACTACACCAGCTTGTTATCATTTGTATAATGTATTGTTGTTTCATGTATTGTTAGCTAACTGGTCATCAAGTTGCAGTTAAATATCACATTACTGATATAGATACGATTATTGACACCCATGAACCAGACATGTTCAGATGGAGGACAGCATAGAGAGGCGACTCTCTTCGTCGCTTTTTTTTTTCACTGAGTTTGAATTGTGTTTTCAGATATGGAAGACATTGAGGACAATGTATATGCAGAGGATGGCCGGATGTTAGAAACACTCCAGAGATACCCACCAAATTACATTAATCACTATAGTATTATATTATCATTATTATTATATTATCATTATTATTATATATGTTGTGTGATTCAGTACCATCACCCCGTATTATGTTCAGAATATCGACAGGTGCTGGTTTTATGACTAAGAGATATTGAATGCATGATTAAGGAGTTACATAAGCTAGATAAGAGAGGGTGACAGGGAATGGTGAGGATGACCAGTAGAGTTGAGACTAGAGAGCTGTAAAGGTGTTATTGTGCTAGAATATAAACTTGATATTTGAGACGTGGATATTATTCAAGCAGCTTCTCAGTTGTTCCCCCTTAACAATAGTTTCATTCTAATCATCTGTTATCAGAAGTACATTTTCAAGCACCTCACAAATTTTGCTTGTCTTCACATGAATTTTCCATCCAGGCCGTTCGATACATTTCATCCATATGAGAATGATTGATGATATTTTGTAAAATTGAATAAATCGAATCCATTCTCTTCAGAACTCTCACAATTCATTACACAGCAGGACATTTTCATTTATGCTTTCTTCTCAATTGTTTATGAAATTATATTTCAAATCTGACGTTCATGAAATTTATTGTGAAATTCAGACAGTTTTGAATGAAAAAGCACAGGACGACTATGGTGCTCTTGTCACAATGCAAGGTGTGTAACTTAATACATCTAAACATTCGAAAATACTAACAGTTGTTATTTCTGTGTCCGAACTCCAATCTAACTAATACCATCCAGTGACTCCAGGTATTATTAAATGAACACAGAATATAAAACGAAACTTGCCTTGTCATGCAATCATCTCTTGATACGACCTTGGAATTTGGAAAAGTGTAGGTACAATGATATTACGTACTCACTATGATAATGCAACTGATTTTATCTCAATCATGAGTGGTCGATTAGCGGCACAAATATCAAATTCAGCGCTATCAGTACTATCACTCTAGACTTCCCATTTCAAAATCATTCAATATATTCCAATTTTTCCCAATCGAAAATAGTCAAGTTGGCGAGTGAAAAAAAGAATTGTGTCCATTAAATCATCAATTCTATCTTACACCAGATCACAAAAATATTAGATCGACATATTTCACTGTACTTAGGTACACGAGAAAAACTCGTATTTCTCCTTCCTGCGAAAACTAACACTTTATGTCTGTCACCTTATACTCAATTATATAGGTGAATACGAACCGGAATTAGTTAATTTGACCATTTTCATTGTATATACTTATATGGACAGAGAAATGAACGTAGTGAAAAAATTCTTCCAGTTAAATCATTGGAAGTCTTGGAGGATTTCGTTCACTTTATGTATCTGATATTGTTATGAGTCCACTATGAACAAAAAACCTACCTAGTACCTTTTTACTATACACTCAGAGAAATAGTCGGTAGTGAATACCGAACGTTTAGTTAAATAGCCGCCAGTCACTATATTCATCGAATAATTCCACAACAAAATTGTATCATTCTATACTATGAGTATATCATACTATTTTGTTGTGGTGACATTCGATATAGTATACAATTTTGTTGTGGTATTATTAGATGAATGAGTAACTGGCGCCTATTTTACTTTTGTCATACTACTAACTATTCATTTCAGTGTAGATCGTTATATCTATAGATAAGTAATAATTATAATCTGTGCTTATACCCATCACATTGACTAACTGAAATATCATGCAAATTATGAAATGAAGGTTATTATGTTTCATACAATAAATACACCTAATTAAAAACAACTGTATAATAGATACAGGAATCTCCACATAACTTATGGACAACTATATGATATGGAGAACTAATAGTACCGTTATTCGTAGGAACGGTAGAGAAAACATGGAAATAGTAATTAATTCTGCAACATAATATCAGCCTGAAGATTCAGTCATATCTAGTTGACTGTGCAAATCAACTATCGACAAATACATGAAAGTTGTTCACTGGCAGATTCATCATCGGCAAAAGTGCGATATGAAAGATACCTGGAAATCCTGATGAATCCCGAAACGGATAATTTGATATAGCTGATGCTTGCTGACCATAGCAACATATGATATCAACATGATGGAGGACCACCTCATAATCGACAGATGATGAAATAGTACATTATACATCAAGGGACAGAAATGCGAGATTTTTTCCAAGGTGCGATTTGTAGCTCGAGGGCGGAGCCAGAGAGATACAAAGCACCGAGGGAAAAATTAGCATTCTGTCCTGAGGTGTATATTCTATTTTTGACGCTGGCGAAAACACAAAAATCAAGAATGAATAAAAATTTGATCAAAGTGTTTTGTCATAATTAGTAGTAGTATAGTTTGTGGAATTCGTATCTTCACAACATGCATCTTGCTGACAACCCATGGTGACAGCAAATATCAAACTGAAATTTGTGAAAACAGCTTCGAAAATGGTTAACGGTTATGGAGCAAGAATTCGAGGGAAAACACCAAGAAACTTTTGAGACTGCTTCTGCAGTGATTGTTAACTTGCTACCAGTGAGATCTAGAAATATGCAATATGTATATGATGCAGCTCATACTCGCTTCAGAGAAGGATGATCCGAAAACAAAGCGCAGAGCTATGCGAAAAATGTAAAGTTGGTTTGAACTCCCTAGGGAATAATACGAGACTTCTGCCCCTCTTTTGATACCAGAGAAACTAACTTCTACTCCCGTCGGCGTGAAAACCTATTTAGATGGAACTATCGCCTTTGCGATCTCCCAATTTAACTCCAAAATATATCATCCATCGGTAAAAATAAATTAATGAATGTTCCGGTTGCTCACCTCATTCAAAAAATTCGTCACATCATAGACGTTATTATGAATAACTATCCAGGTGCTCTTGTTGTCGTTGTGGGTCTTTATGTCGGATAACGAATATTGTTTGGCCATATTTTCAGCTGGAAATAATCAGACTACTACCTTTTCACAACGTCGATTGCGAAATACTTGTGAACCACACTGTTCAAACCACTCACAATGTTATTTACAATTTAGCATGAGCTGAATAGTTGAACGATCTTATATCTGAAAGATAATATTTTATTCCTTATCAAAGGCGTACCCAGGATATGAAATAGGAGGGGGGGCAGCTCATATATTATATTTTAATCACTAGAAATGCTATGCTGGGGGTTAGCTGCCCCCCCTTCCCCTTGCTTGGTATGCTTGCAATTTTTTCTTCGACTACCAGGCCTGCGGGTCGTATTCAGTCCCTGAGAGGGTCAAGTTTTTATTTGTTATCATTCTGTTTTCTCAAGTAATTTTACGAATGGAATATTTTCTAAGAAGAAGGTTTATATAATTCTTGTCCCTCATAGGACTGGACGTTCTGGGGACGTTTATTTCAGATTCGATTTGGGTTTGAACGTCCGGGACCTTTTCAAGACGTACTGAAAACGTCCATTTCTAAACGTACTGGGTACGTACGATTCCGATGTATTGAGTTCGTCCAACTCTCGACGTTATCGACTTTTCGTGGACGGGGTTCAATGAATTGTATAATGATAATTGAAATCATTGCTTATAATTACTACCCTCGATCTCTGATATCTATTTATGTAGGAACCTTGCAAACATGAACATAATACAATTCTCACGATTCATTTTCTGACCGAACGTAATCACAAAACATCTATCTCGGTGTTCTCTGCCGTGATCATACAATTCTATGAAAGTATCAATGTGAAGGGTCAATCGACATTCGCACCTAATCTTTTGTTTGTGATAGGGAGAGCATCTGCCAGGTAATCTAAAGGTCTTGGAATCGATCCCCGGTAGGAGCGCATTTTCTTAAATTTTTCATTCAGAATAAGATATTTTCTACTCTGTCTAGATCTATTATTCAACTATCTGAGTAGAAAAAGGCGAATTAACGTTTATTCAGGTATTTATGTTCCTGAATTAACGTACTGGGGATGTACACATGTGAAGAATCTGGACGTCCCTAGTACGTCTACGGTCCTAATCTGGACGTCCCCAGTACGTACGAAACGTCTTGGCCAGCCGTTCTCAGTACGTTTTAGGGACGTACTGGTGCTATATGGATATCAACACCCACCTCGTTAACGACCCAACTCATCAAAGACCCAATTCACCGACACATTCATTTCACCAATATCCAACTCACCAATGAATCAAAAGTAAACAAAAATACGACAGTACTATACATTTCCTGATCACGTATTGAAAAAAAAAATGATAATTCGCTTTTCCGGAAACTTTGTGTTTCATGATGATTAAAATCGGTACAGTTATATTCCAAGTGCTCCTGATCCAGAATCCATTATTATTTTGTGTCCAAGAATAAAATCACTCTTTTGTTGGATGAACATTTCGAATACCTATCTAAAAAAAAATTTTTCGATATCGTTCAGATGATAACAATTTTACAGGAGTGATAAGTCCTCAACGTGGACACACTGTTTAGAAGTATATATATAAACCCAGTTTTTGATATTTTCAGAATTTCAAGAGAGAATCAATACTCAATTTGTTGGTTGAATTATCATTACAATACCTAAGTAGCCCAGATAGCACACACTCGCCTAAGGTCATCCTCAATGTGTCGCCAAACGCCTGGAGAGGACGTTCTATTTTCTATAACCTAAGAACATCATCAGGCGTAAATTTAGCGCTGTAATTGTCCTAAATGAGTTCTTTCAGTGACAGCCTGAGGATGTTAAGAATTCCGTGCCTACGGACGTCTTCAGATGACATTCCATGAGATAACGTGTCATCGAAGACAAAAGGAAGAAAAAGAAGAACTAGAATTGAGGTTATGTCTCATGATAGTCATGATTTGTTCAAGATACATCATGATATATTAATGATTATATCAAAATTATTAGAGTATTCATTGAATACCTTCATCAAATTTCTATTTCACAAAATGATTGCGAGAAGAACTTATCGCACAGGATTAAAAGATAACAATAACAAAAGGATGATGATCTCTGTTGATGACATTTCTCTCAGGTAGCAAGAAACAATGGTGAGTAAATACTAAATAGAATCATTGTTAGTACCGGACATGAAATATTGATACATTCATATACATTATTTATTGTTTCAGGAGGTTATTGAGAACACAAACTTGATGATATCATCATAGCAAACATGTTTTATTCCAAGATAGCTTTGCTTCTTCGGAATCTATAAAATATTGTATGGAAGCTTGAACTTTCAGTATGAATTCAATAAAGGTATAGGTACCTGAATCAAATCATTGATATAGTAGGTACTGGACATGAAATGTTAATAGGTTAATTATTTGTTTCAGATGAAGTTATTGAGAACACAAGATTGATGATGTCATCAGAGCAGAGATGTTTCATTCCAAGATATTTTGGCTTCTTCGAAATCTATGTGAGATTGCGTATGCATGTTTGCACTTTCAGTATATTCTATAAAGGTAGGTACCTAAATCAAATCATTGATATAGATGATTATATACTTACTCATTGTATTATTGGGAGAAATCAAAAAATGCAACTATGGATACAAATGGAAATGACCTACCTACCTGAACTAGCAAAACTCCTTGCCCTTGTGTATTCATATTCATCATGGGTTATATCTTTTAGACTGAACGAATCTTGAAATCCCACAAAAATCCACCTTGTTTGTTACGAAGAAGACGATAATACCAACTGATCATGCGCATTGAATGCCGACTTGCACTTTTGTGATATACCTTCAGGATGTCATTTGGACGTTCCAGAAAATACATTTCAATGGGAGTACCAAGAACAATGTTCGTAGTAATGGTGTTGTTGCTGAGTTGGGTCGTTGATGAGCTGGGTGTTGATAAAAGGGGTACGATGATGAGTTATTGTGTCGTTGATGAGCTGTTCCGGTGAAGAGTTGTGTCATTGATGAGATCGATTTGTAAATGAGTTGGATCGTTGATGAGTTGTGTCGTCCATGAGTAGTGTCGTCGATGAGTTGTGTCGTCGATGAGTTGTGTCGTTGTGTCGTTGATGGAGTTGATCTTTAATGAATTGGGTCGTTAATGAGTTGTGTTTCGATGTTGATGTAATGACTACGATGATGTGTTCGGTGATCGGTGAGTTGGTTAATGATGAACTGGATATGTTGATTACTTGGGTTGTTGATGAGTTATGTCGCTGCTCATTCGGGTATTGAAGTGGATACGTGTTGATAATTCCGGTCATTGATTGAATGGGAATCAAAAAGTTTCATGTCGATTCAAATCGGTTGATTAAAATGCATTGAAAGAAACAAAATTTCCTTGTGTAGGAGTAGTACGACCATGATGCCAATTGGTAATGAGGTGATAACTACAGCTTATCTATAGTACCTTAAAATCACACACTGTATGAAACAAAAGCTATATATAGATTTATAATTGATGAATTTTTCGTCAGTGTCATTATATGCTTGGAACTGATGTGGTCTTTTCCTTTTCACGCATAATTATTTCCGGATGATTTCAGCAACAAGAATGAATGGAATCGCAGACAAAAATCAGAAATAAACATTCCTCCTGAAAACATTATCTAGAGAATGGATTAAACTTTCAATCCAGAAAGATGAACCTAGTCCCATGTTCCATAAGGTCCTTAGTTTGTTTGACTAGGTACTCAATACTTGAGTTATGATGAAATTTGTCATATTTTTATTGGCCAATTCGAATTTCTTGATCACTCAGGCCTATCACTAATGCAAAATCGTATTTAACAATGCACTAGGTTTCATAGGTGGATACTTATTTTCGTTTTCATGAGTACCAATAAGTTGGTTCCAGATCCAGGAAGAAGTCTTCCATATAAAAAAAATATGTATTGTAAAATTTAATTTATTCAAACTCAGTTCAAACATTCCAATTCCAGACAAACATCGAAATGATACAACAAAATCAAAGATATACTTCATTAAATAAATTTCCATAATGATAATCATCCTCAGAATCCTCGAATGCTTTTATGAGAATGTCTTTTGATGACTTTACCTAATCCTGGAAATAGGTACGGTACATAATTGTGGCAAGGATTCCTAGAAGAATTGGGATTATCCGTGACTTCGAAGAACTTAAAAAAATAACAGAAGAATCATGAAGAATAATGTCCAACATTTTCAACCATTCATTTGATATAATGCACAGAAACTGTTTGTTGGAGGAATCGCTCTGTATGGGTAATGCGCATCCTGGACCAGAACAAGATGTTGTCAAGATTGATTATCAGAATAATAGATAATATTAACAATAGTTCACTTGAATGTTCTTCTTATATATAATGTATATATAATAATTAGATAGATAGATAGATTTATTCAGATATAGAGGATATTTACAATGAATAGTACCTAGTACAGTAGTTTAGTAGTTGTCAATAAGGTTCTGAGATACATTCTCAACAGTCCTGTGCCATCTAAGCTGAGCTTGTGGTATGGTGCAGACTGTTTATATTTGTTTCAATGTGTCCATATCATAAAACCCTATTGACGAATGAGAATAAATGTATTTAAATGAATATTACATTGGTGAGCCTGGCATTGCCTACCTACCTCGATGATAAAATGAAATAAAATAGTTTGAGAGAGAGAAAGAGAGAGAGAGAGCGAGAGGAATATGGAGATTTTTTCCAATCATTCAAAAATAGTTTTCAACTGTTCGTAGTGGTTTTCAACGAAAATTCTTATTTCTGTTTTCAATTTTTTATGGGTCTTGATATTCTTTATATAAAAAGGTAATTGATTGTACAATTTTGGACCGAAGTATGTAACAAATTTTTGATTATGACTCAGCCTGCAGCGTGGAACTTTGATAACTTGGTTTGAAGTCATACGGGTGTTATACGGATGCGAAATAATTTTTAAAGGTCTGCTAAGTATCCATAGTAAACAATTATATGCATATAGCTTTCTAACTTGAAACAGACTGGCCTCATGATATAATTCTTCAGTGGAGTATCTGCGATTTTTTTTCAACATTATTTTGATCAGAGTATTTTGAATAATATCCAAATTATACAGTGACGTTTTGAATAATCCACCCCATTTGATAATAATATGTTAATATAATATCTATATCCATATACAGTGTGGTCATTTAAGTGTGCAACATATGGGAATCTTTTTAATGAATTGCAAAACCAAAATACAGATGGTGCCGAAAGTTGGTGCATGTTCGGTAACCATTTAAGGTGCACTTAGAATGATTGCAAGTCACACAGCATACAGGGTAGGTCAAAAACTATAAAAATTGCTCAAGAGTAAAGTACCCTTATTTCAGAAAATTTAGCATACTGTTATTGAGAAAAGTCCTCCTGAGACATTTTTTAGTTTTTCAATTTTGTTCGTGAATAATTTCCCAATTTGTAATTTTTTTCATATTCACCCTAGATACTTTCATAAGTTTATCATAACAAAATCAGTTGAGCATACTTTTGTTCGAATTCAAGCTTATTTGTGCAATCAACTCGGATTTCAATTCTTTTAGGGAATCATAAACGGTATGTTTGTTGCAACGATATTCAGCTTAACTTTGAAATTTCGCAAACCATATCTTTAACAAGGTGAAACATCAATAATGACGATATGCATATTCAAAAACTTCCATTTGATGTAAACATTTTGTATTTGAAATATTACAAATTGGGAAATTATTAACGATTATGATTGAAAAACTGAAAAATGTCTTAGGTGGCCATGTTTTGGTATTCAGGCATAACTTTCAATTGTTAACAACTTTACCCGATAACATCTTGCCGAATTTGCTGAAATAAGGGTACTTTACTCTTGAGCAATTTATATATTTTTTGACCTACCCTGTATGCTGTGTGACTTGCAACCATTCTAAGTGCACCTAAAATGATTACCGAACATGCACCAACTTTCTGCACTATCTGAATTTTGGTTGTGCGATTCATTAAGAAGATTCCCATATGTTGCACACTTAAATGACCACACTGTATATCAAGTTTCAATTAATTGCTCGATATCATCAATAAAGCTCTCGCTAGCACCTACAAGTTCATTGAAATGCGAATTTGTTCGTTATTGAGACCAGAAAGCAATACAAAAAAATTTTGAAGTATTTTTTATCTTTTGGAGCACACTAATGGAAAATCCTATAATGTTCGTGGAACAACGCGCGTACCTATGTATGACAGAAGAAGGAGGTTAGATTTTGTATATTTTTTGAACTTCTAGAGGTTATAAGTTCTTGGAAATACTCCATTGGCAGAGAATTCCAAAGCTTATTCCCCTTTCTATAGACGAACGAGTTTAGTATCAATATTCCAGGGATTCACTGTTCAGGTCGAAAGTAGGTAACTGTTTTCTCTTTTATGAATATGTGTCTGCAAACGCTTCGATACCGATATACAGAGCGATAGAGTTTCAAGAGATTAATTTTCCACTAGATTTTCCACTAGCACCTTTTATAAAAAGTCAAGGTGTGTTATAGGTTTCTTATTTCTTAGGCAATGATTGCAAACTTAGAATCAATACCTCTATCACAAACTAAATATGTAACGTTTTTGTTTAAATTGTGATAATAGACTCCTCGCTCTTGTATTGATAAATTTCAATAAAATCTCGGAAATTGCAAAAAAATACTAATTTTTTTACTCATACTTATTTCATCGAGAAAGTTGATGAACATAACAATGAACTCATTTCGTATCACAACTTCTACCAGTGAAGCACCACAAAAAAATTTCATAGAGTGAAAAACAGGGGTGACTGCTGGAAAAATATCTCCGAGTAGATTCTTATAATCATTCGACATACTGTATGATGTGAACCATGGAACGTAACCTATGGTTCGGATTCCATCTGAATATCTAGAAAACCAAAAGAGCTATTAAGAAAAAAATTAGAAATCTCAAAGCTCTATATAAATTGGTATCTAAGCGTTTGCGGACAATTAGTGGTGCCCGCGAGAGTCTCGTTTGCGAGAGTCTCGCATGGTCTCGTCTCGTTTTCGAGACAAGACTCGAGACGAGACTCGGACAAGACGAGACGAGACTTTCATTGGTCTCGTCTCGAGTCTCGTGCAAGACTTTTCGTATCTCGTGCGAGAGTCTCGCAGGTAAATATTTTTGCGTGCCGACTGCAGACTTGAGAATTTCATAAAACATATTTAGGAAGAATTCTATAAGAAAACATCGGAATCGCCTTAAAAATGAATATAGACGATGTTATGTCTTAACGACTGGGTGAAAAACAAAAATATCTGCGAATGTGAAGGCTGATCTGACTGATGAAGGTTTTTTTTCTCCAAGCGGCAGGGATAGCGGCTTTTTCCTGCCGCTTAACAGGCAGAAAAGGTGTACTGTTACTGCCTAGGGAGGAAAAGTTTGTTGCAATGCAACGTTTCAAGAAGTTCTTATGAAATAAGCAATCAAAATTGACACTGACATTAGGTGAATACAGAATGATGGAATTTTCAATAAAAAAATTACACAAAATTGGTTTTATATCGTTTGGAGAAATAATTCTATGTTTTACACAGCAGCGAATGTAGATTGACTTTTTTTCTGCCTAGTAAAACAAATAACTATTTTCTTAAATACATATTTCTCAAATAAGTAAAATAATGTTGGATTAAAGTTTTTGTTTAGTTTATTTGTTTAGATTATACGTGTTACTTTTTATTTTATTTTTATAACTTTCGAATATATAATGCTATGTTTTTTTTTCTTGTTTAGATGTATGATGTAAGTATGTTACTATTTGGTACTCAATTTTCAATAAATAATGTTATTTTTGTTGTAATTTTCTCTTCCTATTTCTACATTATACCTAAAAAGTAGGTTAAGGTAAATATTCCGTACTAGACTGGAACAAGATTATGCATAACGAAATTGCGATACATTTGCGAGACTCTCGTACGGGACGCGAGACAAGACGAGACTCGAGGCTGCGAGACAAGACTCGAGACAAGACTTCATATTTCATCGGCGAGACGAGACGAGACTTTATCGAAAGTCTCGTCTCGTCGGTCTCGTGTGAATCACTAGGACAAATGTTCATATAGATAAAAAGCCTTATTTTACATCAAAAATAAGCCCCTGGAATCTTGATACTGAATTTTGAAACATCTTATATATCTTAGGACAAGATCCACAGTTGAAAGTTTTGTATACTCCTGATTTTTCAAATTTAGAAGTTTTGGCTTCAATATATTTTCAAAGTTTATTTGTTTTATAAGCTACATCCGTATCTTTCCGTATCTCGCTTTGTTTTCTAGATAAAAAATTGAAAATACTTCATTGTATGTAGATGGACCACATGGAAACCTTGAAAAATATGGAGCGAATATAATTATTCTTCTAAAATCGCTGGCGACAATGACTCAATTTTAAGGCAAAATGAGTTATTTGAATGGCGCTTCGCTTTCGATTCAGAAATAGAATTTGAACACCTTGTATTTTGAAAACTTAGTGCGACATTCAAAGAGTAACTGTACATTTTTATCTCGTAATCAAGTATGGACACGCTTCTTTCAATTTATCAGAGAGGTTAGGAAACCTGTATAAGTAGGTGGTAGAAGAAAGCACTCAGCGATCAGACAAAAGCTAACTCTGATGCTCTTTGGTGAAATTGCATAAACTTTTGTCACCATTGTGTACATTTATTCTTGTTTCTACCAATGAAAGTGTTATTTTTATTATTATCATCATTGATATTATTATTTCTATTATCAACATTATTATTTCGATTCATATTATTCAAGTCACGACCCTGCGGCCTCCGACGCCACGAAGAGTCGTTGGATAACAATCCAGTGACTACTACCCACAGCCTGAGGGGTGAATGATCACTGGGACCAAGAACCGTGTGCCCTGAGTAAACGCAATGATCCAAGTATGACGGCCTTCTGCATTTCACCAGCCAAGATGTTTGCCTTACCGCTGCACGCTGGGATTTTCTTGATTTCCGAGAGCAGCGTATGTCGTGTGCCTCCTAGGGAGCTGATTATCAGGATGACCATTTCTACAGAATGATCTGGACAGAATCGCCTGCGGAGTTAGAAGAGAAGATATTTAGTCCGTTTCTCCTCCTCTTTCAAAGCGATGTTAGTAGCAGCGACTTAATTCTTTCCCGACAGTTCTGACGACCAGATCTGTCGGAGCCGCTGCCGATACTTTTTGCGGAGAGCGTCTTTCACCCGTTGTGCCTCCTGGTTGTGAGTGTTCTCTACACCCAGGTAGGTGTACGTCTCTCCGGCATCCAGGTGGTGTAGGATGCTTTCGTCCACGAGCTGCGCGTCCTTGTCGTACTTCTCGCATCGTCCTCTATTGAGATGAATCAGTGCACATTTGTCCATTCCGAATTCCATTCCAATTGCCTGAGTGTGCTCCTCATTATTATCATTATTATTATTATTATCATCATTACCATCATTTTTAACAACATCTTGATTATAATTATATATAAATATAATATTATTATTATTATTATTATTATTATCATCATCATTATTATTATTATATGATATACATAAATGATCTTATTCATTCTCACCTCTGTGACACAGCCTGTGATGTGGACGAAGCATCGTCAGAGCTGTGATAAGTTTCCCAGTCAACGTCCTTTGTTAGGACTGCTTTGCGTTCAGACTTCACCAATTCTCCAATTTTGTACTTTGTCATCAGTTCCCTAGCTTTGCTAGAATGACCTATGTCTTCGAAGTTTTCACTGGCTTCCTTGCCAGCATTTTCTAGCAGCACTTCCTTATCTCCAGATTACTGAAGAATATAAATTATGATATCATATTTTTCAATCAATAAATTTGTGTCTAGTCATCCATATAGCAACACTGTGATGACTAAGCCAATATGAATTATAATTCACTTCAAGAGCTTCTACTCGCATTATTTTAAATCAGTGCTGTTGGCATGGAAAAATGTTTAATGTGTGAAGTAGGTCGGTATACTGATAAGAATTTATTTAGATCGAAATCACTCAAAATACGGAAAAAAATATACAGGGTGTTCCTAAATGGAATTTACATATTGAAGGAGGTGATTTCTTCGCTTATTTCAAGACAAAAAGTGTAATGACCTTTATTTCTGTGGCCCTTACTTTGGCGCTCTGTTCAGGACGATGACTTCTCTGGTATTTGACGGGGGAGTGGTGTCTCGAGCGCCAGATTGTTCATGAGGTAGATTACTCCACCTGCTCTGCACAAAGGTATTTTTGTACAGGGGCCCAAAGTAGCCACAGTGGAGACAGGTACAGGAGGTATACTCACCTCGGTACCTACAGTATGAACCAGGGGTCAATGTTATCGAATCGACCTGGAATCAATAAGGAGCCAAGGAAGTGAAGGCTTCAATTACCAACCCTGGGTTCAGCCTGGAATACTGGTTGCTATTTTTATTTTGGATAATTACAGGGATCAGAGCAAATATCTTCCGGGTCCCAGGTATTTTAAGGTTAGGCTCGGAAAATTATTCATTCAAACTATTCTGTAACGTCTACCTGAAAAATCGGAAACACAGTTCTTAACGAAATTTTCCACCAGTAGTTGTTGATTCCGTCTGGACCAGGAGCAGCAATGTTCTTGGGGACTCGGTTGTTATCAGTTGGTGCAGTAACCAGAATCTCGGTATCTTACGCAGAAGGCACCGAAATGCGCCAGGGCTAGGTATCTTTGTTTAATGGATTCCTCACCTAGTAAATACCCTTCCAAAAGGCTTCCACCTGATCAGCAGTCGGCGGATTGTCAACGACACTTGGAGGCGGTTGGAATAAGCAAAAGAGCTTTCCGCGGAATTGTTTGTATCACGCCAGCCCTCTCGCTCGTCTCTTTGGTGACTGTTTTGCAGCCACCAACATCCGCGATTTAGCGGCCATCCGTCGCACTTTCGGTGTGAATGACCTATTGGCACTCACATAGTCCATCACACACTGAATACTGTGAGAGGGTTTTGACTGGCCGACTGGATCTGGGCTTTCATCTTTTATACACGCCGTTCGGCACTCCCAGTCGGTGAGAACGTTCGGATAGGTCTCCGGCTGAGAGGACCAAACCACGGCATACTCATCTTGCAACAATATCAGTTCATCAAATTTACATTATTATATATAAATTTAATGAACTGATATCGTTGCAAGATGAATAAAGACGATTCATCATTATTATATACAACACAATGGAGGTGCTAGCTGTCAGCTCCTGCCGAAAATATTTCCCGAAGCGATTCATCCATGCTTCCAAGGTCTCGGGGCAGCAGGGTGTTAATGTTGATTAGGCTCCTATGGTTCCTGATTTTGCTCACCCCAGAAGCACACGGTGCCCTTTCTCGTTCTCAAGCAGGATGGGTGGAGCTTGATGTTCCTCCACACCATCTTCCTGCCGAGAAGGAACCCTCACATATTATCTAGCGCGCAGGTAAGACATGTATTCCCGCAAATTTTGAGCAGTGAATGCTCCATGCTCTGGGTGTAGTTCTATCCACAGGGCATCAATCGAGTTTCAACACGATGCTCTTCTTTTCAAAATTGAATGGCCTCTCATAGTTTCGTATGAAATTAGGGCATTGATTTTCATTGCTCAATTTTTCACTGGAAAACAGAAATCAATGTCTCCCTCATGGCGCCACAGGAAATCTGATTGGACAAATTTCATCATCATTTCATTCGCCCTTAGGGAATTGAAAAGAAATATTATCGAGTTCTGTTCAGCGGTTGTCTAGTAATTGAATAAAACCTATTATTTTTCATCAAGTTCGACATTCTGTATCTCAAGAACGAATCAAATTAGAACAATGAGATCTTCAAGTCTATTTTGGACTCCTAGAGATGTAAATAGCATTTAGGAATATCCTGTATATCCATAGGCATTATATTATGCGAATTATTTGGTGTATACCTTGGTGTTTGTGAGTATACTTGTATATATGGATCATATTTTGTTTTTTATGTCTATTTGAAGAGATATACTCCATATATTCAATTGATGAAACAAGACATCAATTGAATGTTTTTTGTTTCTAAAAAAGTTTATTCAATATCATTATTGGTTGCATATACAGATCCGTTAGTTATTCGGATGTGAATTCTTCTGTTATCAAACAGAAATGCAACAAAATATCTTGAGGCTACTGAATTAATACTGAGAATATAAAACAAAACATGCCTTGTCATGCAATCATCTATTGATAGTATTGACACAACCTTGAGATTTTGTAACATGTAGGTTTTACGATATTACGTTCATATGTACTGATAATGTGACTGATTTTATCTCAAATACGAGTGACAATGAGTCGCAGAAAATATCAAATCCAGCGATCTCCCTCTAGACTTCCCATTTCAAAACCATTAAATAGTAGTAGTATATTCATGTACTTCGTTGGTAGATATGTACATCGTACATACCAACGGGCCATCAACCCCAATTGGGATTCTTCAGCCCAGAATGTTCTCAAATGTTTTGGTCTGTGTAAGCTGTTTCACTGTCTCCATACGCCACATTAGGAGCAGCACTCTTAATTGGAACGCAACAGTGAATGGTGCAGGACTATCCCCAGCCGATGCTCCGAAACTTCACCATATTCAATTCCTAAATTGAATATCAAAAAAATTTCGTGCCCTGGGACCCTATTCTCAAATGGTGAGATATTTTGTCGCATGCGAGATTTGTACATTGTCGAACAAAAAACGTGAGAGCTTATTCTTGAATGACGCATTCGAAAATTTTCGATAGACAAATTGTAGAGTGGTCTTAAGCAAACGACATTTTGATGTCGAATGCGAGATTGAATATTTGACTGATTTCTTCACTTGTTTTTTTGAGGAAGGCAGCTTCATTGATAGAGATTGAATATTTGGAAAATCAAGAAAACCATCAACGGCCACGAGAGAACGTATGTAGGAATGTAGGAATGCCTTCAGATTTTTATCGGACCTAAAATATATAAGAATATTTAGGTAAGGAATAAGTGAGAGTCCATTGCACTGCTAGTGCTGAGTGGTAGAACCATTTGTGGTACAGGGACATGGGTCCTCTGCATGTATTTTCCCAGATAAAAGTGGCTCATTCTATTTTTCTTTCATCGAGTTGAGTGTTTCCTTTTGAGATGAAGCACAATAACTTTTTTTTCACTGCCATTATTATTTCAACATAACATTGACATAACCTCCATAATAACAACAAAGAAACCACACCACATTGGCACAGAACACATTCGAGAATCGTTAATTCGATGTTGCCAGTTCATGCTATTCGACAAAATTTGTCTCATGCGAGTTTAAAGTCGAAAGCAGTCGATAATACCACACGTAAACGTTGTGCGACAATTTCTATCGACATATGTCGCATACGACATATTTCGTTCGACATTCGAGAATAGGCCCCGGCTGGGATTCAAAATCCACGACCTCACAGTCATGAGTCGGGCACTCGTCCACTGACCCAATCCCGACCCTAACCATCAAATATATCAAAGGAAGGAAGGAATGCTCGAAGTCATCTTCACTAATTTTGATGGTGTTGTTACACAATAACCTTTCTTGGGAAAATCACGTGAGATCAATTGCCAAAGGTGCATCCCGAAAACTTGGTTTTCTATTACGGGCCAGGAGCTATTTCACTTCCAGTCAGCTGCTTATGATCTATGATGCACAGAACCGACCTGTCCTGGAATACTGTTCCCACATTTGGAGTGCAGCACCCAAACATACCCTGAAACTGTTGAATTCTGTCCAAAAAAGAGCAATTCGTTTGGTGGGTGATGCCTCGCTCACAAACCCACTCACTTCTCTGGAACACCGTAGAAAAGCAGGCGATCTGGCCATTTTTCATAGATATTTTCATGGAGGATGTTCCTCTGAAATATCAACAATTGTCCCTCCCTTGGCAGTCCCCGCGAAATTAACCCGTCGAGTTGGGGCTTCGCACCCTTTCGTGGTCTCTTTGGAGACCTGTAGAACATATCTTTCCAAAGACTCGTTCATCCAACGAACGGCGAGGCTCTGGAACACATTGCCAAGGGATGTGTTCTCCGAGGCATATAACCTCCAGAAATTCAAGAAGAACACCAATTCCTACCTTATTTCCCTTGGTTCTCACGTTGTTCTCTGAACATTACAGGATATCTCTCTTCGTGGAAACCAGAACATATATAAAAAAGAACACAATCATAAGGGACATGTTTCGATCTTATAAAAGATCATCTTCAGCTTGATTGAGAGTTCTGGAGCTGAAAAATTTGATGCTACTAGTTGTGGAATTGTTGTCAATACCCATAGTGGAAAAATCAAATTATGAATGGAAAAACGGATTCTCATTGATCAAAATTTGTGGAGATGACTCCGAGCATCTCTTTCTTACTTTGAAGAATTTCACTCCACTTCAAGCAATATGGACTTCTACCAAAGATTTATCAAATAAATTCTTTTTTCTTATTCTTGATGTAGGCAAAGGATCGAGGTAGAAAGAATACTTTTTCATTTTCCGATATGAAAGAAAAAAGTGGAAAAAATACCTGAAAATTGTCAAGTTCACGCATGAAAAATATAAGTGTACAGTGTGTCCAGTTTTAGATGCTTTTGCCATTTTTGTGTAATATCTCAAATACTTTGGTCATTGAGTGTTGCGGTTTTCACATTAATAATGCCTCACTTTTTTTGTGAAACGGATAATGCCGGAAACATAATTTTCACAGTCGTTCATGTGAGATAGATAGAAGGCGAAGTTGGAAAGTCTCACTTCTTGAGCATCTCACGTGTCTTGGTTACTTTTCAACTTATCGGCAGGATGGAAACATCAGGGCCTTATATGACTTTCTACGTATAATACAGTGGAGTATTCGTTTCATTTCTGTAATCGCCCATTTTCAGAAAATACCGTTACTGGGGTGATTTGGTGGAATTTGTCGTTATACGAAATATAGAAAAC